CTTCTATAAGTCGAAAGGAGACTGCGACCATACCCGAGGCCACAACATCTTGGTCTTCATATCTTCAATAATATTTTCTTGTTTTTCTTTTATGTATTTCAGAAAGCTTGACCCTACTATATGCTATCTTTTACCTTTATGAATGCAAACAGGATACTCATCAAGTCAAGAGTAAAATGAATTAGTACATTAGATTATAGACCATTGCAAAGATCCATCTTATATTAGGATTTATATGCATTTTATGACGGTAAGTGCTAAAGTATGCTGATTTCTAGCGTCCTCTCGCCCAGCGAGTGAGAATATCCGTTTCGCACAACTCATACAAATTATAATCTACGTAAAAAATCGTGTTGAAGCAAAAGAAGTCATCATCATTTATAATTATTTTTATCTAATATCTAAGTTAGATGAAATGCTTAAGTGACGGCCTTTCACCAAAAACTTTACTCTTTTTAGCTATAACAATTTTGAGGTATCTTATGTTTCTCTGTATTTTTCATGTAATCTGACTTCGAACTAGTGGATCTAAATTATTCTGTTAAGGAAAATGAACCAACCTAAATTGTGAATTTGTTCTCTGCTCAATAATCGCTTAGCCAGGTAGTCAGATTTCATTACCCTCTCATTATCCCCTATACGATCGCCGTGACTGCCAAAAATCGTAACCATATTAAAAATTTATCCGCCTCTATTCTTATCATCCTGTTTTTGAAAGTGGGTAGGTGGGACAGGTTTGCAGTATTGGCAAACGAATACAACTTAGACCTTGTGAGTTATTTTGAGCATATAAACACTGGCTTAAACATCTTCCAATCCCAACGAATCCTTATATGAACAAGAATCCATTTTTAGTAAAACTTGAAAGTTTGTCAGACCAAGAATCTAGAACCACTGATAATGGTTTCTCATTATAGTCCAGCTGCCAAAAAAGTTGCAAGATGCTTGAAGATAAGTGATTGGCGCAAAAATTTAATAGAGGTAGTCAAGGTCGAACAGCCGTTTCCCTGCCAAGATGACTAGCAGATTTCGTGCACGCAACAGCATTCTTTATGACCAGATTTACACGCCTGCAATGCTATGGAGGCATGAGATAAGAGCCCTACCATCTTAGAGATTACTCGTCGGTCCTTCTTCTTCCCAATGTTAACCAAAAATCTCAAGTATCAGTTACAAAACCAAGTAACAATAATACCTAGCTTAACGTAGAAACGAACAACAAAATATTACGGACTAAAATTTTGGTCACAGTAACCTATCGGTTTAGTAAAGTGATCTGACCTCGATTTCGCAACTTGGTCGTGTTGTCGGGGCGACTTAGTTGGACGCACGTTGCTATAGTAGTTATCATTAGTCTCAACGTCAGACTATGGAACGTCTGGAAATGCATCAAATCCATGGTCCGACGCTGGGAATTATGATAGCTACTATAGCAGAGGATTTAGGACAAGGTTTGTCCAGACAAAAAAAACAAGTTGCGAAATCTAAGTCAAACCATTTATATACATCAAATGGAGATGGTAGGTGTCGTAAGGCGGTGTACTGAGGATCTATTCGTAAAAAGGCAATTTTCCTAATGCATTAATCAGTTGAGAATTCTAAATAAGATCACTGAGGTAGAGGCAAGTAGAAAGAAGGTTAAGCCCAAATTTTTCTAAATCCTATTATACTCTAACTTCCTCCAAACCACGCAGGTGAGAATAATATTTGAAAGAAACGTGCCGTACACTCAATTCATTATTAGAGTGAGTCTCAATAAATTCTAAAACAGAAATGACTAGATTCTCATGTTCAATAACTTCTAATATAATAAAATTGTCACACCATGCATACATATATATATATATATACATATACATATATATATATATAAGAGCTATATCTTTTTATGATCACAGAGCAAAAATACAAGGTTGGGTATAAGAAGAGCATGTAAGAGGATATTAGAATAAGAAGACACAAAGACGAATCAATCCAAAGAATGAGGTTTGAAGAGCCTAGCTCCTCTGCTTTCGACCTGAGCGGCGTCCACCAGTCCCGTTTCCACTAGTTGCGTGTGATAATTCGCTTCCTGATCCACTTACAGATCCAGAACCAACAGCGATATTGCCACTACCTCCTCCGCTAATATGCATACTAGAATGACTCACATGCCGACCATCAGAGCCTATTGAGCCTATGCAAAGTTGGTTGTCTGGATCAGCAGCCAAGGAATTAGGGCTAGCACTAAGAGCAGCTACACGACGGGAACGAGAGTCAGGCGGCTTTTTTCCACCCAAAAGTGACATAGAAGTTAGTACCTGGAAAAGAGAAATATGACGTTAATTTCACACATGTCACGAGTCTGACTGAGACCTGAATGGTATTGTTCAACATTAAATGTGAATAAATGAACACCAATTTTTAAAGTAATATTAAGAAAGACAAGTCTAAACAATATAAAATATACATTTTCCTTTAAAAATATTCTTCATTAGGAAGATGTTTCCAAAGCTATAGAGAACCAGTTACGATAGGATAAAAAATACAATAATAAAACATCGCTACTCGAGGTATTCGATTAAATCTAAATAAAACAACTAGCTGATTTGCACTAGAACTAAGCAAATTCAGGGGACCTAAAAGTCTGATAAAAAGTATATACCAGTTTAAATCCTTAGTATAATCCGATCCTAGTCTATTTTGAGATAATCTATCACTTTAAGATCATAGTAGTACAACAGACAGGGCGACGTATCAAGCTTTGGTCAAGAATCTTGACATTTATTCTGACCAGTAAGTGACTGGCACCATATAAAATAAAAAATAAGAATATAATAGACGTTTCCGATTTTTCATATTTGCTTAACCGCTTCGTTAGCTTTTCCCTAATTAAATCAACCTTAGTAAAAGGCCATACCACATGCCATTTAATATACGTTTTCCAAAAAGTAGGAAATATACAAAGTATATGATCTTAATATAGTGGATTTTTAAAAATCATATTAGGATTAAAAATGCGAATTTCTAACAGCCAATTTCGCACGGAAGAAGTTACTAGAGAGTAGTTAATAAGGACCCAGCAATATTTATATATTCTAATAGCGATAAACAAATGCATTAAAGATAAAGCATCTAGTTACCTATTAGAAATCAGTCATTTGATTGTGTCTATCCAGATAACAAAGAAGAACGCTAAGATGAAGTTAAATGGCAGTGATTAGGACCTAACTGTGGTACTACTCTATATGAATAGGCAGAATTTCTATAAATAAGATTTCCAGGAGTATTGAAGAAATTAATGTGGCTGGAACTCTTGTCAATTCTAGTAGTATTCCTCCCAATTGTAATGAAATAATTAGTTAGAATTCATGTTACTTTTTCATGAAATTCGATAATTTTGAAACCGATAAAGTCCATCAGATTGTGTATTATTCCATTTTGCCTTTGAATATTATAATCAATGGCATCGCCTCTTTCACTCAAAGGTACAAAACAATTGGTATGTATAGAAATGCTTTGGGAAAGAAGGCGCTTATAATATCGGTAGGATTGTGGAAAGAGGCAACTACCTTCAAGCTGAGCTGATCAAGGAGTTGTTCAAGCTATTAACTAATCTGACAACAAGTAAGATTCAACGGTCACATCCACGGGCGGATATTTGGTCTAATTATAAGCCTATCATTAGCAACTCTTCTGGATAGTGTCTTCATTCAAAAGCTTGAGGAATTTAAGAAATAATAACTATTACCAAGATTGATGGTGCGATATCTGGACAAACACTCAGCAACATGGAGACTTTCTTAAGTTTCCTAAATAAGAATGATAGAAAAGTGAAATTCACAATGAAGATGCATAAGAGCGAAATACTACCATTTCTAGATATAAATGTAACGACTTTAAGAGAATGTTATCAATAAAGAAATTCCGCATCGAAATGATCCTTAGTCTTCAACCACATTATCGCCACTGAATAGAGGGATAATAGCCAAGAGTATGATAGGATGAAGGATATGACGTGGGATTCTAGGAAAAATAGGATAAAATAGTTCAGATGTTCCAAGGGAACGGATACGCAATTAGATTTATACAAAGAAATATATGGGTAGTGATGAATAAGCGCTAATGCAGTTAGTGCTTCCCTTTTTGTGTACTTCCTTAAGTTGCGGTCTCTATTAACCAAATGGAATATCTTTACACTTTAGAAATGACAGGCGAAACTCCTCACAAGCTAACTCACATTATATAAGAGCAACAAGTGTTAGGGAAGTTATTGTATCAGCTGCAACGAAACAGGAAAAAAATTAATATATCGATTAAAGAACATTATCGACAATACAGAATTATGGATATGGAAAAATCGGAAATGGCAAAACAAAGTATAATGACCAGCCACAACACTAGCTAAAGTACAACAGAAAAACTGGCCTTATGAGAATAAAAAATAAATGGAATCTCATAGAAACAAAGGAGCTCTTTGCTCAAGGTAGCCTAATGAGCGGGAGCTAGGAAGAAGGAATATTCGAAATGGAAATCGACGATAATTTCCCTTAGTCCTTAGGCAAGCATAGATAAATTTATAATTCAGCAAAAACAGCAGAGGTGACACCCTAATCGAGGATATCACCCAAAATATGGAAAGATAATCAAAAGCCTAGTCTTAAGTCTTTCTGTTGGATCTCTCAGTAAAGGCCTATACGCGTCATTGTCATTTAAATGAACAAGCATTTTTTTTCTACATAACTTGACTTATCCATGTCTACTAAGACAAGAAAAGACTGGTTGCGTCTGATCATTGTGACCTGGCTGTACTTATAGCTCACTCTTTCTTTCTCGCATTGAGACTAAAAACAAAAATAGGCTCATCACCGAAACCACACGTGTGCGACCTTGCGCAATCGGAGTGATGGTTATAACATGAATATAGAAAGAGGGAGATAGTGGTCATCAAACCTTGATGACTGAAAACAGACGTTAGTTTTCCTATCCTAATTACTTTGAGCCATCATTGTGGGTTTCGTGCATAAGCGAACACAAAGAGGCACATACACAAAAAGAGACAGAAACTCACTGGCATCGAAGTTGTCATATGACTTTAACTATTCAAATCACTTTATACCGAAACAAAGAAGCCAGATATAGAATATATATATATATATATAGCTATTTAAGAATGTGCCTGCGAGTATTCTTTACTCATTAGCTTGAATTTG